ATTTGTCTGTCCAGAAATATTCACAAAACAAATGATGTTGCAATTATCCTGGGACACCCGGTATAGTTCTTTTTTGTGATCTATAGATCTTTTTGTTGTGATGTATCGTTTTTTTTTCTTGTGATCTATAGGTCTTTTTGTTGTGATATATATACATTATTTTATTGTAATCTATAGATCTTTTCCTTGTGATATATAGTGTTTTTGTTGTGATCTATAGTTATTCTTGCTGTAATGTAAAGGCTTTTTTTCTGAAATTTGTATCTTTTTTACGATGATTTTCTTTCTTTGTGATAGTCTGCATTGTTTTTCTTTGCTTGTTTAGTTATGTTTTTAAGACATACCTAGATTGATTGTAACTTTTGCTCGAAAGTATGTTAATAAAATATGAATAATTGACTTGAGCATAGTCACACAGTTTTTATTAAGCTATTGGGTCTTTTCTAATTCAAGCTCAGTTTCCAAGCCCTGCCCTGCCCTGGGGACAGGGTAGGACAGGGCATAAAAAGCTGCTCTGTGACGGTCTCTGGTATGAGATGATACGGGGTCTGTTCCCGTGCGTGCATGAGCTTTTTAGGCTCGTTACGGCTCTATCAGGATGTTTCCTGATCGCGCACGCGTGTGTGCGAATAGAACAGAACGAAAAAAAAATCAATCAATCGTCTTTCTCGTTTACGAGTTCTATGCGAGAGTAAATCGTTGAACACGATGATTACCGTCATCGCCGACAAAGAGATTGCCATGCCGATCGATGGACAAACCAATGGGATGCAAAAACTGATTTGCTCCTGCTCCTTCGCCATTTCCACCCACAACGACAGTGCCCTCTTGTGCCCCTTGAGCCCAACGCATCACACGTTTATTCCCAGAATCAGCCACATAGAGAGTGCCCGACGTATCGACGGAGAGTCCATTAGGAAGATCCAATTGTGTCAGAGCATTCCCTTGACCGTGACCTCCAGCGACGACAATTCCTTCTCGTGCATCTTTACTCCATTTCATGACACGATGATTGATATGATCTGACACGTAGACATTCTGTTGTCGATCGACAAAGAGGTAGCGTGGCTCGTAGAGTTGATTGAGATTAGCACCTTCGCCATTGCCACCAGC